TTGTTGATTTTTTTTCCTATTTGTATTAGAAATTAGGGATATTCACTTGCTGCTCCTCCCTCTTGGCCGCTGCAGCTGCACTCCACGCTGCCATTCTCACCTTCATTGTCCTTTCTAGCTCATGCAGTAAAAGAGGTCCCCAGCCACCGCTGATCCAAATGCTTCGGTGAGCCTTTTTTCCAGGGCTTCAGGATTTAAGGTTCTGCTTTAGCTAATCTCTTTTCAAGCTTCTAAGACCTTGTATGTTTTGCAAGATAGGAGTATTCAGAAAATATGGCTTTTGCCACCAGCTAGTCAAGCAAGGTCACAGCTCATAATAACTTTGAGTGTACTGCTGTCATTAGGGTGGAAGCCTCAGAGATGCACTGAACCTTTCTAAGGAGACTGAAGGGATCACTATCATTTCGAGTAAAGCTCTGCAGTGTGAAAAAAACTAGTTCTCTCTCCCTTCCCCTCAGACCTGAAAGGTGACAAGTCCTTCACGGTGCTTTATGTTGCCTGTACTCTAATGCAGTCATGTCAGTGACAGCAAGTACAAGGCAGAGAAGTTGTATCATTTGCACTCCCTCCCTTTTTTTCCTGTTTTAAACTGCCAGAGATCTTTGTATGTTGTGACTGAGGCTTCCCGAGACCTGCTGTGTGATAAGAAGATGCTGTAAACCCTCCTGTTTTCTGACAGACAGACACTGCTTTTGATGAGGATAGTAAAACACAGCACAGACAAAAGCACTTACGTGACATTATCTAGAAGTTGTAAGGCAATTCCTTTTCAGAGCCACAGGAAGGCAGCCTTGTTTGGGCAAATTAGTGTTTGGAAGAGACTTTTGAGCAAGTATCCGGCCTTCTGGCTCTATATAATCTGAAAACGGGGAGATGTGGCTTAGCCATAGCCTGTCTAGTAATATCTTTGCCTTGTCGGTAATCACAACGAGCCATGGTCCTACAGGCATGCCCCAGAGCTCTGCCAATCACGTGCTGAAAGCAGCCGGAGCGGAGACCTGGTCACGCTGCTGCCTGCAATGGCCTCCTGCCCACCTTCTCTTCTGTAGGACTTGGGAGCAAGGAGGGGTGTGACATGCACTTGGCGCTGGGGCTTTCAACCTGTTTTTTAACGTATGAACTCCTGAAATCATTCCTGTGTCAGTCAGATCCCTGCATAACAGTTTTAAGCTGATGAGAGGTCATTTTTCCCAGATGCCTCTAACGCACCCTGCTTCAGAAAAACTCCAGTGCCACGTGCGGAAAAACTCTCCAGTAGGACAAATCCTATGGCATGTCACCGCCACCCCGCCCTGTTCTGTGTCACCTTCCTGTGCTGTGATGTCACTACTGATGAGTTAAAGTAGTTAACCCTGAGACAGGGGCATAATCTCCCCTCAGGGGCAGTGCTGCAGCTTTAGGAGGGACAGGAGGTGGCTGTGGTAGGAGATGGATGTTCAAATATTCCAGTCCACAGGCTTCCCATGGGACTTTGGAAAAATCCCTCTGTGTCTCAGTTCTCCATCCGCACCATGCTGGCAGCGCCTGGGTGATGTATGACGTTA